CCGGCCGGCCGGCGCTTTGTCCCGCGGGAGGTGCGGGCTGGCCGCCGGCCGGGGAAGGCCGCGTCGCGGTGTGCAGTGTGGCGAGTGCGGGTCTCCTTTCTCCCGTAAACGTGCTTATGATCTTCTCGGTGTCGTGTGACGCGCGTGCTTTCTTTGCATTGTTTTTAATGGAACTCGATCGAGCAACGTCCGCGTTGAAGCCCTGTGGGCTCCTCGCCCCGCTCGCCAGGGCGTTTTCCGTGATACGTTTGGCGTGGCTGTGTCCGCGTCTTTAAGACGTACATATACGTGGTTTTGTGAATCTGAAATGATTCCTATTATACCTGTCCTTAAAAAAAACAAAATCCCATGTTTCCTACTTTTAAAGCATGCTCCATTCTCTACTAGAATAGACGTTTCTGTCTGCCTTACATTCCAACGATTAGTTGGAATTACCTCAGTTAAAACCTTTCCTAAGGCTTTCTTTTCATCCAGATCTGGGTGTGTTTTTTCCTTTCCCACAGAGTGGAGTTTTCAAAATGACTACCTTCGCTGTCCCCCTTTCTTTTTCCTTGATCAAGAATAGTTTGAAATGGCTGGAGACACTTTTTAAAACAATGTGCTCGGTTTAATGCATTTTTCAAGAAGCATTCTTGAGGTTGATCAAATCTTGTAGCAAAACATGGTACATGTTTCAGTGTTACTTACAAGGAGTGGTAAGAATGCTGACAGAGAATGGTTGTGCAAGATGGTTTATTGAACTCTACCAGTATGTGTTATAAAAACAGTTTAGTCATCTTTTCCGAAGAGTTACTTTCATTCTTAGCATTAAACTAAATTTGTTAAATTTTCACAAAGTTCGACTTTTTTTATGTGACTGTTGGCGTATTATTTTTGTTTAGATCATTTCCACTTATTCCAATTAATAGTTCAAAAATATAAGGTTTACAGGGTATGCATTTGAGTTTCTGTTGGGTACAAGTAATTACAAATCCTGTCCTTATTTTACTTGGCATAAAGGGGTCTTTCATGAAAAATCTGTTTTTAATATCCTGTTTAAAGAAGCAGCATAAACTTGTGAGAACCGCTAAAACAGTAACAGAACATGACAGTATTTATTTGGAAAGATCACGTTAATTTTGCAATGCAAACACATGTACACATACGTTCTTTTGTGTAAAGTCAGCTGTGTCTTGGTTTGCTCAGGCTGCCATAACAAAATAGTATAGCCTGGGTGGCCGAAGCAGTAGACATTTATTTTCTTACAGTTTTGAAGACTGGAACTCCAAGATCATGGTGAGAGATTGCCTGGCTTGCAGATGGCTGTTTTCTGAGTTTCTTCATGTGGCAAAAACAGGGCAAGCTATCTCTTGTCTCTTACAAGATTACTAGTCCTATTCAGAGGGTCCCACCATATGACCTCATGTAAACCTAATAATCTGTTTAAAAAGTCACTCATCTCCAAATAACTATCCCAAAGGGGTAGGATTTATAGGTTCAGCAGATGAATTTTTTTTGTGGGATGCAATTCAGCCAGTCACAATGCAGTTAGTTTGTTGTGTCCTTTTTTCAGTATATACGATGAGAAATGAAGGCTTTTGGTTACTAAGAGATTTGTCTTTCCGTGAAAGTAATTGATGAAAGTCATAGGTTAGCTGGGTGTGGTGGCACATACCTATAATCTCAGCACTAGGGTGGCTGAGGACAGAGGATTGCCCCAAATTTGAGGCCATCCTATGCTAATAGGCTAGTCTGAACTAGATAATGGAGATCGTGTCTCAAAAAAAAAAACCCTTGAGGTGTGTGTGTTATGTACCAGGTCCCCACAGTGAATGTAATCATTGTGAAAGGGAAAGAAACTAAAGGGAAGGAACAACTGGGATGAGGGAAAGGAGAAAAGAAAGGAAAGGGAAAAAGCGTGTGTGTGTGTATATATATATATATATATATATATATATATACATACACACATATATACACACACACAATAGCTAAGATAATTGTACTAATTTCTGTTGGTTTATTGAAAGGAATAGTTCATGCTTAATTTTTAAAAATAATTTTTAACCAATATTTCATGCTTATATCTGGTAATCTGAACAACTACTTTGAAGATAACAATATGCAATTTAACAACCATTGCTGATTTCCTATCATCTTGTTTTGAAATTGTGTATTGTTTTTAATTTTTAAATTTTTATTCTCTTTAAAATAAATCCAAAACCAAAAAAATCATAGGTAAATTTTTAAAGTGCTCTAAAATAAACAAATTATGGAGAACTTACACCATGGTTCGAAGAGGTCTCATTGCATTTCTAATAAATCAAGCTGTTAGATGTACCTTTATATAGTACTCGTTAATACCTTTAAGTGTAAATTGGAGATCCTTTATTTGGTATTTTTACATGAAGAAAAAGATCTCTTCTGCCAAATTTCATTTTAGCTTAATTAGATGGAGTATATTCTAGAATTGAAGCATTCTATTCATGCATGGATGACAAGCGTTATAATTATAACTTAAGTAGAACAACTGGCAAATGAAATTTATCTTACAGAAATTACAGTGTTCTGAGATTTTTTAAAAGCTTAATCTGATTTTTGGTGAAATGCCTTGATTTCAAGGATCATTAATAATCAGTAAGACAACTGTGGGGACGAATCTAAAATTCTCAGTGATTTTTAATAACATGTGTCCTTAAAAATATGCAGGTTTGGAAGCAGAAGCCTGCGACTTAAATCTTTTGTCCAAGGTCTTTTCTGGGAATTGAGACTATAACTAAGTTCTTCGATCACAGCTCCTACGCTCCTTTTTTGTTTATAGTACACTTGTGACCCTCAAATTGGTTGTTGAAAACTATTCTTTTTTCAGGGCTAATTGGCGTCTTCCTGTCTCATGTTGGAACCCTAAGTTGTTTTTGGTTCATCTCGTTTTATCACCTCTAGTTAGTTTTGGCCTGAATCTTGTTTTTCCTGTCTTTGAAACATGTGACAAATAGATCTTTCCTCTATTTCCATTCTCACTGTTTCACTTTTACAGTTGGACCCTGATAATCTTATGATTAACTCCCCCTATCTAGTTTACTCTGTATCTCAAACTAACATTTTAGGAAATACTACTTTTGTTTTTTGAACCAGGGTTTTGCTATGTAGCTCAGGCTGGCCTTGAATTTGTGGTAATACTGCTTCAGCCTTCTGCTTCAGCCTCGTGAGTGTTGGGATTACCACAGAAGTGCTACCTTTTTTCTTACATATATCCCTTTGGCACTGACCCTTTTAAGGTTTTCTGTTGGTCACTTAAATCTGTACATTTATCATGCATTTACGTCTTATACTACTGCTGTAGTATGGTATAGTACAGTATTCATAGTACTGTACTCACTAAGAAGATCCAAGTCTGTGTGACATGATACCCATCTTATATAATTTGTAGTAAGGATGTTGGGTTTAAATAAGTCAGTGATTCCTACTTCAAGTAATTTAGAATTCATTTGAGGAGTCTAAATACTGAAAAATTTAGCAATAGAAAAAAGAGTAATACATTTTTTCTTTTTTCTTTTCCCCGACAGGTTCCCGTTGCATGTAAATCATGTCCCTGTGGTTACATATTTATTAGCAGAAAACTTTTAAATGCAAAACACTCAGAGAAATCACCATCTTCTACAGGTAATTGTGAAAATTTAATAGTTTTTAGTTTTTTTGATGTCGAGATTTAATTTTATGAATTTATTATTTATACTTTTTGTTGTTGAAGTTAAAAATTAAAATCTTACCTATTGGAGAGCTGGGGATGTAGCTCAGTGAGTGCTAGAGCACAGGCCTAGTGTACTTGAGGCCCTGGGTTGTATCAGTGCTACTAAAAATACAAAAAGACAACATAGCCAGCAGGAATCAGTTTATAATTCTTACAAAGTTTGTAACATTTAAAATTTTATTTTTATCTATTGTAAATTTTATTGAAATTAAAAAAAGAAATATCTTAGTTAAGCCAGGCCTGGTGGCACATGCTTGTAATCTTAGCAACTCAGGGTACTGAGGCAGGAGGATATCAAATTTGAGGCCAGCCTAGGAAGTATAGTGAGACCTTGTCTTAGAATAGAAGCAGCTGTGGATACAGCTGTGTGGTAGAGTGCTAACTTCAGTTGTACAAGGCTCTTGGTTCAATCCCCAGCACCCAAAAGAAAATTAAACATGTCTGATTTACTCAGTGACAATTATTAATTAGCCCTTTATAAAGTTTAAAGTAATAATTGACATTGAGTAAAATGGACAGATATTTATTTATGTACTTTTTTTGCATGTGGGATATAAAACCCAGGGCCTCATAAATGCTAGGCAAGCACTCTACCATTGAACTACAGTCTCATCCCCTAAATTGAACTAAAATAAACAGTTTGATGAGTTTTGACATATGTGTAGACCAAACTATCACTGTACTTGATGTTGTGAATGTTTATCATTCTGAAAAGTTTCCTAGTTTGCCTTTGTAATCCCTACCTCCTAGTAGCTCCACCCCAAGTAACCATTACTCTTTCTTATCACTGTTCATATAAATGCAATCATATAGTATGTACAGTACTTTCATGAGGGGGGCTGGCTTCTGTAAGCATAATTATTTAAGACTTAGCTATGTTGTATATTGAGTTCATTTCTTTTTTATTGCTTAGTAGTATTCTTTGTGTGAATATACCACAATTTGTTTATTCATTCACTTGTTGACGGATAGTTGTTCTTTTTTTTCATTCAATACTGGTTAAATTTACAATAATATTAAAATTTTTTTAATTTTTTAACTAGTGACGAAAATATAATTTAGTTTTGGTGTGAATATGGTTTTTTGCATAATTCTCTGAGAATAAAAATAATTTTGAATTTGTTGCTTTTCTATTAATGTAGATAAATTGGGTTTATTTAGTAGGTATATTAAAAGATAGCATTTTGTTCCCTATTCTTTGATAATATCAGAACTTTATATAATGGCTTTAGGGATTGATTTTGAGTACGTAGATATGCTGTGTCTTGGGCATAAAGCAGTGTGAAGGTGGATTGACTGCTATCATGGAGTTTACATTCTTGTGGAGATAGGCAATGAACAAATAAGCAGAAAATATGGCCTTGTAATGTTTGCTTTGTAGGAAATTAAAAGGGGGCACCTTTCTAGGGGCGATTGGCTGGCTACTTTTGAATGGTAGTCTCAAAGGTGGCATTAAGCTGACTCTCAATAGTACTGGTAAAATTCAAGGAGAAGAATATTCTCGGCAGATGGAAATAGCAGATACAAAAGTTCTAAGGCCAAAAATTTTGATATTTTAGGAATGAAAAGACCAGTGTGGTTGCATTGTAGACAGTAACGGCAGAAAGTGGGAAATGAGTTCAGAGGGACAGACAGAGGCCAGATTATGTAGGGCTTGTGAATCAGAGTAAAATGGATTTTGTTAGTAAAATGCAAGGAGATACTGTCCCTGGATTTAATTTAGAATTATGTTTTTAAAAAATAAGATTATTTTGGATAATTTTTGGATGACTAATTTTGGGAAATTTGAAAAGTAGTATTTTTTTAAATTTAATCAACATGCTAATTTAATACATGTGTATAGTGTATAATGACCAAATCAGGACAATTATCAATTCCATCTCCTCAGATGTGTATCACTTCCATATGTTGGCAACCTTCAAACATGTTATTTTTAAATAATCATAAATTGTTGTACGTGAGCTGTAGTTATGTTGCTGTGCTGTAGAACACTAGAATTAATTCCTTCTATCTGAATGTATTTTATCTAATCCCTCTTCCCTCCTACACTTTCTAGTCTCTATTGGCTACTACTTTACTCTCTTACTAACTTTCTAGCTTTCACATATGAGTGAGAATATGTGATATATCTTTATGTGCTTGGCTTACTTCATTTAACATGATGTCCTCCATTTCCATGTTGCTACAAGTGACAGGGTTTGCTCTTTTATAGCTAAATTATATTCCACCCTTTATATATACCTCATTTAACTTACACATTTATCCATCCTCAAATTGATTTAAATATGTAGGTATTCACTGTTGTGAATAATGCTTCAATAAACATGGGAGTGCAGGTATTTCTTTGGTATATTGATTTCATTTCCTAAGGGTATATAGTCATTTGTGGGGTTGATGGAGCATATGTGTTCTTTTTTTTTGGGGGGGGGGGTTTCTGGTACTGGGAATCGAACTCATGACCTCGCGCTTGCCAGGCAGGCGCTGCACCACTGAGCTAAATCCCCAGCCCCGTTGGAGTATATGTGGTAGTACTGTTTTTGTTTTGTTTTGCTTTGAGGACCTTCCATACTGTTTGCCATAGTAGCTGTACTAACTTTACGATCCTACCAGTTGTATGTAAGAATTCCCTCTCTCTACATACTCACTAGCATTTTCTTTCTGCTGTGTTTTGTTGTTTTTTTTTTTTTTGGTGGTCTTTTTAATACTAGCCATTCTAACTAGGGTAAGATGATGTCTTTGTAATTTTGATTTGCATTTTCCTGATGATTGGTGGTATTAAACATTTTTAATACTTAACTGGCCATTTTGTATGTCATCTTTTATGAAATGTCTGCTCAGATCTTTGGCCCATTTTGAAAATCAGATTGTTTTCATGCTATTAGGTTATTTAGTTTGTTACATATTTCAGATATCAGTATGTTGGATAATAGCTCATAAATATTTTATTAACTTTTTCAGGTTGTCTTTTCACACTGTTTTCTTTGCAGAGCACCTTAATTTGGTATAATCACATCCAGTTTTCTCAGCAATATTTACTTATCTGCCATATATGTTCATATCACTTTTGATGAAAATCAGCTGGCTGTATGTATGTTGATTAATTTCTGGGTTCTGTATTGTGTCTCCTTGGTCTCTGTGTTAGTTTATCTATAGCTTTGTGTAGTATGTTTTGAAGTCAGGTATTGTCTCTTAGTTTTGTCACTTTTATTTAGGATTGCTTTGACTATTTAGGGAATTTTGTTCCAAGTGAATTTATGATTTTTTTTCTATATTTAGAAGAAGAATATTTGATATTTTGATGAGGATTGCCTTGACTGTATATCACTTTGGGTGGTATGGATATTTTAACAATCCATAAACAGGGGATGTGTTCTCATTTTTTGTATGTTCTCTTTAGTTTCTTTGATTAGTGTTTTATACTTTTCACTGTTGAGCTCTTGCTCCTTTTTTTTTTTGTTACTGGGAATTAAACTCAGGACCTTGTGCATGCCAGGCAGGTGCTGTGCCACTGAACTATATCCCCAGCCCTTGCTCTTTTTTTAAGCTATTACGAATAGGATTGCTTTCTTGATTTCTTTTTTAGCAATTTAGTTATTGCTGGTATATAAAAATGTTATTTTTTTGTATGTTGATTTTATGTCTGGTAGCTTTACTGAATTTGTTTATCAGTTCTAACAGTTTTTGATGGTGTCTATATAGGTTTTTCTATATATTTCCTGTTATTTTTTGTATATAAAGTACAATATATTTTGTTTATAGATAATTTGACTTCCTCCTTTCCAGTTTTGTTTTCTTCTCGTCTAATTGCTATTGCTGACTTCCAGTACTCTGTTGAATAAGTGTTTGAATATCCCTGTCTTGTTGCAGATTTTAGAGGAAACACTTCATTTTTTTCTCATTCAGTATGATGTTGACTGTGGATTTGTTACGTAGACGTATATGTATGTATTGAGGTATGTTTCTTCTGTACTCAGTTGAGTATTTATAGTGAAGGGATGCTGAATGACAATATAATTTTAGAATCACTAGTTCATTAAGTGCTCAATTGTAAAGAAAGGTAGAGAATTTACAGAGGAAATTTTGTCCTCAGTCTGACAAAAATTTAAAGAATTTTAAGTGCTTTTTGTGAACATGGCAAAATGGTCACTGTTACTGTTGGTGAAATAACTTGACAAAACCTTTTTGGAGAGCAACCTTAAAGTAGTTGTTAAAAGTTTTAAATGCGACCAACCTAGAATCTAGATTTTTTTTTGTTTCCTTTTAAGACAGTTTTCCTTTTATACAGTTGAAGCTGGCCTTATACTCACTTTGTAGCCCAAGCTGGAACTCCAGCGATCCTCCTACCTCAGCCTCCGAGTGCTGGGATTACAGATGTGTGTGCCACCACACCCAGCTAGAATTGTTTATGAATAGATATTTGACTTAGCCTAATTATCTAGATATGCAAAGAGGTATTTACTAGGATTTTGAAGGCAATACATTGTAGTAGCAAAAGTGATCACTAAACTAGTTGTCATTTATTTATTTTAGATAGGATCTAGCTGTGTAGCTCAGGCTGGCCTTGAACTCGTGGTGATCCTCCTGCCTCAGCCTCCCAAGGGCTGGGGTTATAGATGTGCACCACCATAACCAGCAATAATTAAACATTTAAAACAGGTTTGGTTTGGTTTGTTGCAGCAGTGGGGATTGAACTCATTTGTACTGAGGTACATTCCCAATCATTTTTAAAATTTTTGAGACCATCTTGCTAAGTTGTCCAGTGTGGACTTGAACTTGGGATCTTTCTGTGTCAGCCTCCCAAAGTAAAAGAACAATTACTAAAGCTGAAATTGTAATTTTTCATATAAAAATAAAATCAAGCTTATCAAAGATTTTTTAAAAATTCAGTGGGCTGAAACTTCCCATTAAACAC